AACATATGTGGGTACATACAACTGACTCATAAAGTACAACATGCCTCCATCACGCAACTCAAAACTGATGCATCGCCTTGGCGAACCAGCTCAACTAAAGCCCTTAACTAGTCGTCTAAACTCTACAATCTCTTGGTCTCGCCTACTAATTCTAGCTCAACTCACAACTAGGCTAATAACCGACCTTCACTAGTCATAATCAAACATGTTAGGAGGGTTCGCAACTTTGTCATTGATTTCCTGCTCAAGGTGTCTGCCACTACATTTTCTTTACTTTAATGGTAATCTATTACACAGTAATATTCCTTTAGCAACAAAACCCTCCTATGCTACCTCAAGTTTAATTCTTTCTTCATTAATAGATACTTAAGACTCTTATGATTGGTGAAGATGTGACATTTCTCACCAAAGATATAGTTTTACCTTAAATCTTCAAGGCAAATATTATTGCTACTAGCTATAGGTCATGGGTGGGGTAATTACGCTCGTGAGATTTGAGCTGACGAGACGCATGAGCTGATACTACCTTACCCTCTAGAATTAAGACACATCCTAGACTAACACCTTCAACAACTCAAAGCTTTTCTGTCTTATCCTATATGAATGGAACTCATTTCTAAAGCAATTTGGTCAGTGGGGCAACTATCATCGAGAAGCACTGAATGAAGCGACAATAGTACTTGACTAGATCTAAGAAACAATGGACTTTGGATACATTCTTCAGTGTCTCCCACTCAACTATGGCCTGAATCATTTGAGGGTCGACTCAGATTCCATCTACTGACACGATTTGAACCAAAAATGAAACTTTCGACAACCAAAACTCACAATTCCCAAACTTGACATACAATTATCCATCTTAGAGTGTCTATATGATGCTGTGAAGGTGTTAGTCATGGTCTTCTTCTGATCAAGAGTATACGAGGATTTCATCCATGAAAAACATCATGAGCTAATATAGGTAGAGGTGAAAGACTTGGTTCATCAAGTCAATGAATGTCTTTGGGGCGTTAGTGAGTCCAAACGGTATTACTAAGAACTCATAATGACCGCACCTCATCTTGAAAGTTGTCTTCACCAGATATGCATCCTTGATTTTCAAATGATAATAACCTGACCACAAGTCGATCATGGAAAACACGCATGCTCCCCTCAGCTAGTCGAAAATATCATCTATCCTGAGGGTGCATAACGATTCTTGATGGTTAGTTTGTTCAAATGTCAGTAGTCGATGCACAGCTTCATTAACTGATCCTTCTTCTTTATAAAAAAAAAGATATGCGCTCTCCACAGTGATATACTCATTTGAATGAAACTCTTTTTTAGAAACTCTTAGATTTGGACCTTTAACTCCTTCAATATCAAACTCTAATTCACGCTCAGGTGGTAAACCTGAAAATTCTTCTATGAGCACATCGAGTAAAACTCACACTGCCCAGATTACTTTAATATCAAACTTTAATTCACGGTCAGGTGATAAACCTGACAATACTTCTAGGAGTATATCTAGTATAACTCACACTGCCTGGATATCCTTAGGTTTCGAAACTAAGATTCAAGTATCGACCACATGAGCCAAGAAGACCTCACATACTTGGTCGATCATCTATTGGGCCTTTATGGCTGACAAGATCCTTAACTAGCACAACATCTCACTAGTCATCACTAATTTCATATAGTCATTTTCCCTAAGCTTAAGTTATCATGCTTTGCACTTCAAATTGGCGTCGTGCTCAAATAACCAATCCATGCTCAAGATCATGTCAAATTCCTGGAAATGGTAATTGCATTAAGTCTGCTAGAAAGATTTGACCTTGAATCTCTACTAGGCACCTCCAGTGAATTTTATCTACCAGAACATCTAGACCTAAAAGGCTCGATACTCAAACTCCTATCTCTAAGTCTTCTATTGGGATTTCTATATCTTATACTAGATCATGGCATATGAAGGAGTGGGTGAAATCGGGATCTATCAATACAATAACTAGATTATAAAATACTAGAAAGGTATCTGATATCACATCTGTCACATCGTACTCCTCATAGGCCCTCACTGCATATTGTCTAGAGGCTACCTTCAGCTTTGTACCGATTATTGACCTGATTGTACCTATGATATGCTGCCTAGATGTAGCACTACACCTCTCACTAACCCCCGACCTCTCTATACACATGGCTCCGATCTCTATATCATGTTAAAGCTAATTCCTAGATCCCCGAATAGTCTATAATAAAGTGGACTAAGGAGATGCAATTGAAGAAACCCCCAAACTATTATTAGACCACTGGGACTCACCCCAAAAGTAGAAGTCAAAGGCCTCCTTTGAAGCTTCGATCTACCCTATGGTCTATACTTATTCTGGACCTCTCGACTATCATACAAGAGGCCTCTATGAACCCTAACTATCTTGGCCCTATTTGCTAAAGTTTACGATGATCTTATTGGCTCAGTGGCTCTCCTAGTCTATCTCATAACTTTACTAGACTACTTGGCCCTCCTACTCAAGACCCTCTCGACCGTATTTGCCTGGCGTGATACTTAACAAAGACACTATGAGGGTCAGCTGCAAGGTTAAATAGGATATCGAGGTGTAGGCCCTCTCTGAACCTATGACAGCATTCGTTAGTCAAAACCAACTCTGGTATATATCTTCTCAATCAAAGGAACTCCTGCTCATACTCTATCATTAAGCGATCTCCCTAAACTAAGTGTAAAAATTATTCCCTCATATCACGATGTGAGCCTTTCTAATGTATTATTGTGGAACACTGACAAGAAATGCTCCCAAGATGGTCTCTCTAGCTCAAGTACTATTCTTTCACCTCCATCCATCTATGGTGTCACCTTTCATCAAGGTGGTGACGCACTTGAGATTACCCTCGAGGGTAAGGTGTAGTTGGTGGAGTATAAAGAGGGTCTCTCGAATCCGCTTATCCATACGATGAGGTCATCATCCCTGGAACTATAAAATTCAGTATTCTTATATGCATATAGACACTCTATAAGGGACTCTAGGGTGCTACTACGGGTGGGGATGGAGGTGCTGGTGGGGAGGTGGTATAATTGAGGCTTTAGTATGGCTTTAACAATCTGCCTAAGTGCAGGTAAAGTCCATAAAAGGTCACCTCATCGACCCATGCATCTACTAGTACCTCAAATTGGTATGTATCTAAGATAAAACTGTCACTTGTGTCGGCTGTAACCGAGGCGTAACTCTCTTCCCTACCCTCTTAACCACGAGCTGAGTTGTCTGACATAGGTTTTTTCTTAAATTAGAAAATAAATGAGGTTATTATTATCATTCCAAACATGAAAGTACTCATTAAACCTAGAGGCATGTACATACATAGACACTGACTGACTCTAACAGATGGGTCCTAGGAACGACTGAACTTGATACTTTGATACCACTAAATTTAACACCCTAATCCAATCCGACTTGAAGATCGAAGGATTAGAATATCACATGGGACCAATGAAATGGCTAACCCAAAAATTTTCTTTTAAAACAATGGTAAATAATCACATAAAAACCATTCATAGTAATATGAATTAAAATATAATAATCAGAGTACAAAATACAGGGAGCTCCAAAACATCTAGAATAATAATATCGAGTTTTAACAAAATAGAGTTATGACTGAATACAAAGGGTCTATAAAGACGATATATGAAGCCCTGGCTGGTTTGGAATCTACTGGCGATGATAATGCTCCTCAACTGGTCACCTCAGAACCTACGCATAGAAATACATTTTGAATGATGAGCTTACGAGTGCCACACTAATAATGTATTATACTACATGCATTCACTAAAAGAACATGCTAGTGGTATAGGTATGAATACATAAGGATGTTAACATGAAATGTTAAGGTAGGCATCATAGTGCGACTGAGAGTTTTGTATCTCAAAGCGCACACCCCTCTAGCCTACCTAAGATACCCTTAGGTATCTAAGGCGATCCAAAACTGCACCGGAAGCGTACACCCACCAACATACTCTGTGAGTCTTAGGGCATCTACTCCCAACTAGGGACTAAAGTGCCTTTCACAAACTGGATACATTTTGACTTTTCTGTAATGACACAATCGTAATATACTAAGTAACTCGGGTTTCCTGGTTGTTTCTCAAGCATCAACCAAGTTTAGTTTTTATGTTGGGTTAACTACCCCATTCATACATGAACTATACCCGATTCTCAGTTTCATACACAATGTTTAAAATTCTCGATTTCATACATGATTTTTTTGTCGTTCACAGATTCACCAATTTCCGTTACGAAAAGCGACGTGGAAACTTATGACCACTAATAAAATGACACGTGACACTTTAAAAAACATGTTTCTATTTTTTTGGTAAATTATACCATTCATCACTCAAATATCTTCTCACTTTTAATTTAGTCACTAAAGTTTAATTTTTTTTTAATTTGAAAACATGTTTTGTCTCCCCTTTTTCTCCCAAACCCATCAAAACTTTTTTAGTCACTTTTTGTAGAAAGTGATACTATTGCTTTACGAGTTGTTATGAAATCCAAGGACCACTTTGTGATTATGTTGCTAAAGGATTTAGAAAGCATGTTTAACAGAGCCTTACTTTGAAACTAAGACCCCAATGCTTGATGAGAAATAGTTTAATTGGCTAAGTCGATTTGAGTCAGGTTTCATTGTGTTTTGCTCGTTTGGAAGCCAAAGTCGGTTGTAGAAAAATGAGTTCCATGAGTTGGTTCTTGGGTTTGACTCATGTGGGTTACCATTTCTGGTAGCTTTAAAATCACCATAAAGATGCTCGATGGTTAAGAGGCACTGCCAGGGGTTCTAAGAGAGGGTTGATGGAATAGGGTTGGACTATAATAGTTGGGTTTCATAAGAGTTGCTATTACACCACCCAAAATAAGGTGTTTTGTGAACCGCTGTAGGTATGGAACAATGTGGGAGTTTATACTCAACGATTTCCAAATCGTGTTATTCTTGAAATTGGGATCAATTTCTAAACAAAGGTTGATGGTGAATGAACTCCATATCGGTGTTGAAGTTGAGAGAGGTGAAAACAGACAGGTCTCAAAGGAATCACTGAGTTAACCATCAAGTTTGTGATAACAAGGACAATGAAACAACTAATATGTTGAGGGCAAACCATGGTAAGCTGAGGCAGAAACTTTTCAATAAAGATCTTCAAGAAGAATATATCAACAATTTCATCCTAGCTCTACAAGATCTTGTCAAAAAATAGTCTCATGTTTCAGAACAAAATGGATAAATCCAATGTAGAGTCCTAGTTCTGTTGTGGTAATGGAAAGTATGGGTAAAAGTTACTTAAAATAGTCTAAAGACCTGAGAAAGAAGATGGGTTTGGGAGAAAAAGAGGGGAGACGAACATGTTTTTTAAATTAAAAAAATTAAAATTTAGTGACTAAAATAAAAGTGAGAAGATAGTTGAGTGATGAATGGTGTAATTTACCTAAAAAATAAGAACATATTTTTTTAAAGTGTCATTTTATTAGTGGTTGTTAGTTTCCACGTCACTTTCCTTAACGGAAGTGGGTGAATCTGTTAATGGCAAAAAAACATCATGTATGAAATCGAGAATTTTTAAACATTATGTATGAAACTGAGAATTTGGTATAGTTCATCTATAAATGGCGTAATTAACCCTTTTATGTTATCCTAACTTTTATTGTTTCTAGTTGTACTGCATTTATTATTGTTCTCGCTTGTTTTATTTGATGGCATTCTAGATTTATTACGTCCCTCAAGTTCAACCCTTTAACCATTTGGATTCTTTATCCAAACCTATACGTTGGTTCTGATATTGAGCTCTTTGATATCGGTACTTACCCCTAAGTATTGATACTCACCTTTGGGAATGATACTGAAATGGTTATTAGAAGCTGAGAATGAAGGGTAGTATGATACTCTTGGACCGAGTATCGATACTTTTATACTAGAATATCGATGCTTTCTTAAGAATCAATACCAAATTTTTGTTTCGATGTTTTAAAAAATAACTCAGTATCGATACCCCTACTAGGAGTATCAATACTCTTCCTTAGTATTGATTGGTAACTGGAATTTTCTAAGTGAACTTGGTATCGATACTCTTCCTACGAGTATCGATATCCAACCAATAGTACGATACCCAATGAATGAGTATCGATACTTATAACCCCAAAACTACCTTATTTTAAACCATCTAACAAACAATATTGTCATTGTTTTTAAGTACCGATACTCAAACCTAGAAATGCCCTATTTGGGCACGAAAATGACTCATAATTTCACCCTAAAAGCCCTACTGAGATTCCCAAACGTTATTAAATTTGTATGTATAAAAAGGGGTCATAGGTCTATAAATATGCTAAAAACACCAAATGATGAAATTTACTATGATATGCTTTTATGCTTCTTATCTCATGCAACTACCAAACACACCTAATTATATGCATTTAGTAGATTTGAGTTACAAGTATGTTACCTGAACTACCAATTTGTTGGAAATGCTAAAAGCACAGCCAAGAGTCAACTTTTTCCCTTTGTTCTTGGAGCTTTCTCTCACTTCTCTCACTAGACAAAGATCAAAGAATCAGTTACTAACTTGCTTAGGTGTTTAGGAAGAGATTATGAACAACTCCAAAAATGTCCAAGGCCAAAACTTAATGTTGAGGGATTAAAATAAAGCTAAAGGTGTGGAGATTTCAACTTTTACCTCCTCTAAAACGTCCAAGGCTTATCACACTTCAAAATTCTCACATTTGATGATTTGAAGTGGGAGGAAAATAAGCGAGACATTAAGCAATAAGATGAAAAAGTGGATGGGGAGGAAAAAGAGGAATCAGTGTGTGACCTCACCAACATTTAAAAGAATTCAGTCTTTTATAACAAAAATGGGTAAACTACTTCCTTGGTCCTTCAAATTTAGGTTTTAATTCAAAAAAAATCTCCTTTAACTCATGTTGGGGCTTAATCCAAACCCAAATCCACTCAAACTTAGGCAAGGTTTCTTAAAAGCCAAGGGATTTATCGAAGGCCCTCTCGAGTTATCCTAAACCCCCTAACCTGAGATTTAGGGCGTTACAATCCACCTTGACTTGAATTATTAAAGTGTGAAGGTTTAGAGACAAAACATTGAAATTCAACAACAAAAATCACTTCAACGAACAAGTTCTCCATATTGAGAACATATTCTCCACTTCTTCCATGAAATATCTTAGAAGGGTATTCTTCTACAATGATTGTCAACTAAATTTAAAGTTTGCCCAAACTTGGATTTACTCATTGGTAAGGAATCACAACTACTAAATTTGCTCACAACTTGTTCATTACAAGCAATATCACTCAATAAAATAGACACCAAGACTTTATGTGGAAAACCCTTTTAGAATAAAATTCAATAATGTCAAGATAATAAGAATACAAGAGGGGTCATTATGAACAACATGATCCTTAACTCTAATAATTTATATATATTTATAGGGATAAATAATTGATTACAAAAGAAACTTATAAAGTATAAATCTACTCAAAGTAGGTTTTCTATATAAAGGAAAAATAAAGTTTATATTTCTAATCAAATTAGGTTTTTACTTTTCTAAATTTATATATTAATTCATTTGTGTCACTTTGAATTTGAGTCAAACTCTAGCAAATCACCACCTTGACAAAAATTCTAAAAGTTCAAAGATTTTGAGACAAAACACCAAAATTTGATTAGACACTGAAACTAGAAAAATAATTTTTCACTTTAATGAACAAGTTCTCCACCTTGAGAACATATTATCAACTTCTTCCACGAAACCCCTTAGAAGGGTATTCTTTAACAATGATTGTCCAAATTTGGATTTAATACTTACATCAGTAGGAAATGATAAGTTCTACCTTTGCTCAAAATTTATTCACTACAAGTAATATCATGCATAACACAACCCCGATCATTTATGGTAATTTTTTTATGCTCTGAATTTTCTTCTCGAATTTGTTATGCTCATAGAAATAAGCTATCTTTTTCTTCTTAAATTTGTTATGCGCATAGAATAAAAAAATCTACTCTGAAAATCGTTAGGTATATGATTATTTTGCTTAACACAGAATCCGCTTTTACCACGAAGGAAAAAAATAATATGTCATCTTCTATAATTGCTGAACCCTACATAATTTAAAATTTGATAGTATTTTTCTACTCTTTCATCATAATAAAAGAGATCTTAAAATTTTGCATACCTCTATCTTCCACAATGTGAATATGGCGTAGTGATCCAACAATAGAATTTTATATTCTAAAGATGTTATTATCATGATCGAGTCCAACAATTTGAACGCTCTGATACCAATTTGATAGAAGATAATATATATAATTATTACACAATAAAATAGACACTAAAATTTTACGTGAAAAACTCTTTCTAGAAAAACTACAGCCATAAGAGAAAAAATTCACTAATGTTAAAGGAAGAAGAATATAAGAGGAGTCCTTATAGACAACTTGATTATTAACCCTAATCCTTGGTATATATTTATATGGAAAAATACTTAATACAATGGAAACTTATAAAGTAGACATCTACAAAAAGTAAGTTTTCTACATAAAGAAAAAAGATAAAGTTTTTACTTCTAATCAAACTAGGTTTCTTACTTTTCCAATTTTATCTATTAATTAATTTATACCACTTTGAATTCGAGTCAAACTCTAACAAATTTTCACCTTAACGTGAATTCTGAAAGTGGGCAGGTTTCGAGATAAGACACTCAAATTTGATGAGACATCGAAACTCAATAAAAACAATTTTTTACTTTAATGAACAAGGTCTCCACCTTGAGAACATATTCTTCAGTTCTTCCACGAAACCCCTTAAAGGAATATTCTTCAATAATGATTTCCAACTGAATCCAAAGTTTGCCTAAACTTGGATTTTGTATTCACATCTGTAAGGAATCATAAGTGCTAACTTTGCTCACAACTTGTTCATTACAAGTAATATCATGCACAACACAATCTCGATCATGACTAGTAATTCTATCTTTTTCATTATGCTCACAAAACTTAATTTTCTTCTTGAATTTGTTATACCCATAAAATTGAGCTCTCTTTTTCTTCTCAAAACTATTATGCGCACCGAATAAAATACTTTTCTACTCTAAAAAAATGTCATGTACACTGTTATTTTGTTTAACGGAGAATCTTCTTTTGCCACGAAGGAAAAAAATAATACTTTATCTTCTGTAATTGTTGAACCTTGTAGAATATAAAATTTGGTACTATTTTTCTACTCTTTCATTAGAATAAGATAGATCTTACAAATTTACATATGTCTTCCAAAATATGAATATGGCGTTGTGACTTGATAACAAAATTTTATACTTCAAAGATGTCATTATCGTGATCGTGTTAAATAGTCTGAATGTTGTGATACCAATTTATTAGAAGATAACGACATGCAGAATGATTTCTCAATAAAATAGACACCAAGATTTTACATGAAAATTCCTTTTGGAAAAAAACCACAAGGAAAAGAGAAGAAAATTCACTAATGTCGAGAAAAGAAGAATACAAGATGAGTCCTCATGGGCAACTTGATCTCTAACCTTAATTCTTAGTATCTATTTATATAGATAGACATTTGATTACAAAGGAAACTTATAAGGTAAAAATCTACTCAAATTAGATTTTCTACCTAAAGAAAAAAATTAAATTTTATGCTTCTAATCAAACTAGGTTTCTTACTTTTTCAAATTTATAAATTAAATAATTTGTGCCATTTTGATTTTAATTCAAACTCTAACCTCTTTGATTTCGAAAGATTAAAAAGATCTCTTGTTTCATCTCAAGTGTCTATGAATTGTTATGAAATGTAGAAACAAATTGGAAAACAATCTAATTCATGAAATGATTTTAAAAATATTGTAAATGAACAAATACTCTTAATGTGTAAGAATCTACAAAACAAATACCTTTAAAGTTACTAGTATTGAAGGAGAGTGGTAAACTAATGATTTGTAAATCATTTATGAAGTTGATTATAGTGCTAATTGAATAATGTACCACATGGGCAGTAATGGTGCTTAATTCTGTGTGTTACAAAATACTTAAAAATAAAAATTACTCTTGTATGACATTTTAGGTGAGAAAATGAATTATAGTACAAAGAGAGGATATGACCTCACTTGATTAGGTGAGAGAATAAATTATGCGAGTAATTATCTTATTAGTCTTATAAGGCAATGATTGATGTGTGTAACATATGAGATATACATGTTGTGACTATGTGATGATGATTGTTATGGTTACATCAAGCCAGTTCTATATATTTTGAGCGAGAATCTTACTAAGGCATATGTGAGATTGAATTCCTCTATATGATCTATATCCGGTGGCTATGAAGAGACAGAAAAAATCATTAGTTGCGATTGATGAAAATTGTCCAAAATATATATGATATCAGTTTACATGGACATAGTATTATGACATCAAGCGGTACAATTGTGTTATGTAAGTAATGATGCGTGAGATATATATTATGATATAGATCAAAATGTTCATGGGTAGACCCTTAGTCACGAACTAGGGAAAGCATAAAACCATTATTGTTGCTCAAGAAAGTTGTTAAACTTAAGCATGTAGCGCTTGAATTTATGAATTATACATGTTCCTATTATTTATTATTTATTTCACTAGCATATTTATTTTTATGAAAATCATGTAACGCTTGAATTTATGAATTATACATGTACCTATTATTTATTTCACTAGCACATTTATGTTTATCAAAATCATTATGTGTACATTAGATTAGCGATATACTATTGAGCTTGTTTGCAAAGCATCATTTTGGTAAAACCCAACATTTGATCTTCAAAATAGACTATTATTATTTTAGTGGACATGTGTATTCATAAGACCCTTATTTTTGTAGTTGGTCTGTGAATTTTATGGGTGCTATATTATTTTGATTTAAAATATATTGTCAGGGAACTTCAGTTTTATATAAAATATTTTATAATTATTATAGATATTGTATTTTATCTAATCCCTATTGTGATTTGAAATTTAAATAAAAAATATTTTTTAAATGTGGTGATTGTTTCGACAATCTGATGTGACATCTTAGACTCATTTGTGAATGATCGAATTTGAAATGTTACATGCATGATAAGTTTTATCTACCACATTACTTACATAGGAAGATGCAATATGCAAATTCATGTACCACATTCCTTTCCAATAATCATGTAAATCTTCAATGCTTTATTTAACACGCAGCTTTTTATTGTTCTTATGTTTTTCACTTAATACATGTTTGGTTGCTATCCTAATGCCTGGTTTCTCTGTTCGTTGTACAAGTCGATTCGTTGGTTATTGCATATATGTGTCGAATGGGATTGTTGTTAATGGGAGATCACTTTTTCCATTAGCAATTTTGATTCTTCTTCAAGTTTCTCTCCTCCACGTTTTGATGCTCGAAGTCATTGGTATGTTCAGTTTATGTACATTGTTGATCCACTTGTTAATGGTTTGTTTATCAGGCTATCACTAAGCGATCATTGTTATATTTATTTTCGATGGTCTTGACTGTATTTGTTCAGTCTGTAATTGACAAGACGTTTGTTGATACGACTTTTGATAAATGAAATATCCAGATTATTTTCAACCAAAAAAACATGCAGCTTATAAATCATGTTCTTAAAGTTATAAATATGTTTTTTCAAATTATTGGATATTTAAATCTTTTTATAACATCTAGTATGACTCAGTCTCATAATATCTCTTGCACATGTATTTGTAATGCCAGCAATTATGACTAAATTATTATAAAAAAATATATTTTGGATAAAAAGTTAGCACCATAATTATTTTTAAAAAAATACTATTCAGGATTAGAGTGTCCTAAATTTGAGGTTAAATTTGTTCTAGATGAGGCTCAATTTTTGCGGATAGCATCGCTACATGTTCAAATCATCTCAATTGTAGTAACTTTAGATTCAGTTTATTCAAAATATTGAGCCGGATCTATTTGAATTCAGGTTAAACAAATGATTTTATTATTATTATTTAAAATTTCAATAGAATCTAAATTCAATTCTATGGAGTTTTTTTTTTTTTTTTTTGAAGAAACAATTCTATGGGATGAGTTCAAAATTGAAAGGTTTGTGTGCATATCATAGAATAGAAATACAGAGGATTATCAACATGCAATGGAAACCATAGGATGGTGAACAGAAATGATATCTGAAAATATCGGCCATGTTACAACCCTAATAATCCCTAAACTTCGTCAAATGGACGGTCTACCCTTACCGCAACTACCATAACATACCATTTCCAGAGCAGATTACGTAATTTTACAAGACGGAACAGATTGCGTTGGCAATGCATATACATTCAATGAATATAACAATATACCAACAGAAACAAAAGCCATTGACCCCAAATTCTAAATTTTAAACTTTTACACGACGGCTCTCCACAGGAAAAACACCCCCGCCTGAGAACCCACCATCAATCAATCCACTGCTAGTGCAATTTGCACAAAGAATATAATTTTTTTGTCCTAAAATCTTCGCCTGCTACTCCCTGACCAATATCAATCAACTTTCGGAATTGTTAGAACTTAGAACTCCATTAGGTTAGAGTGGATGAAGTTAGCAAAGTCAGGCTCCATCACTTTCTACACATCCATCTACTATCTATAATCTTCACTTCAATCCAGTCTCCTTTCTGAACTTACATATATTGGCCCCCTCACTTTAATGCGTTTCGGAATTGGACCCATCTCTAATGGAGGAGGTTCCCTCGTGCACTTTCCTAGCTCGTGTTTTAATCTGTCATTTCGGTGCTGCTCTTGCTGCCGAATCATTGCCTCGTCATTTCCCGACTTCCTATACTTGATAGAAATGGGAAGGTGGCCTCTTCGAGCTTCTTTATAATCAGAAGTGCGACTAATGTTGTGATTCCGTTCATCATTTCTACAGCATTCAGATGGCACTGATTGCCGACACCTTCCTTCATGTTGGAGTTTCTTTAATCGCTTGAGCCCCTTTAAAATGAACAAAAGGGAGAAAAAAACTACTAAGGCTTCTAAAGAAATGAAAGGACTGAAAAGTGAACAAGGCAAGATACTGCTGCAAAATGCTTAATGATAACACAATAATCAGATCAAAGATAACTAATAGTGGAACATTATGTAACTAATCAGATCAAAGGCACCCTGAGAGTTAAATTGGCCATTTTATCATAAACATATGAGATTAACTTTGGAATGTTATAATTATACCTGGTGTTCAGAGCTCTTAGATGACATGGCCTGATTCCCATTTCTTTTCTCAGCCTTCAAAAAAGAAGGCCGTTTAACCCTAAATATCTCTGAATCAGAACTATCACTGTCATTGGCGACTATAGACCTACTCTCTGGTTCATGACCATTATACTGATGGATACCTGGACGAGCTTCACGTGACAAACAAGATACAGATGATTCATATGTATTTTCTGAGACTTCTTCAGAGAACCTTATATCATTAGTGTTTCTTAGGTTAGCTAACTCCTGTACCTGCTTTGGAATTTAAAATAACAATGTTTCACTGAGCATGGGACCAGCAGTCATAAACATAGCAATACTAAATGTGGCACCATAACCCTAAAATACTCAGCAGGTAGTATGTGGATCTTACATTTCTTGGCGAGGATCCGACACTTTCCACAAAAGAACATAAAGTCGATGCGGAAAAAGAAGAGAAAGCATCTGTCGGTTCAGGTCGAAAATTTCCAGTCTCATGGCTCATTGAAGGATGTCCCTAATCTACTGGTTGACCCGTAGTGAAGTTATTGTAGCAACCTCCAGATTCAAAACAACATTTATCTCACAGTATGGAAAGTATCCATCCTCTACATTCTGGAACTTATTTGATAGTGGATAGGAATACATGTCATCACCATTTTCAGCTTGTCGATCAACCGCTTCTGATATGGGGTTGTCTTCCTCAAACTTCTTGGCAGTAGCTTCCATCTCTCTGACATCATCCCTCAAGAAAAGGCCATGATAGTTCCCACATGGTAAGTCAAGTGACTTAATATCTGCAAAATTTTAATGGAGTTCATCATAAGACGAAATTTCATAACTAAGGGAAATTACCAAAAATAGCAGTATCAGAGAAAGGTTACCATGTCGCAGGCAAACAGGATGAGAGTTACAACTGCAGTTAACAAAAGCAATGTAACAGTCACGTTTGCATAAAGTGCATACAATAGTTTGATATAATTTGGAGACACACTGGTACATGCCCTAGCTTTCATGATTGACCAACGGGCCCTGTGCAAGAAACGTATCAGCTTTACAAATGAACCTTAAACAATGATGGAGAAGTCAAGTCTGCTGCGGAAATTCAATCTTCCAGTTTCTAAACTTCTATTGAGAAGCATAGCTTCTTTGCCAAAGTTCCTCGTGAGGAAGGAGAGGCACCCTGTTGAGATGTGCATAACGCAAGCTTGCCACAGCGCCCAAAGAAACCAATCTCCAATAGCAAATTCAGCCTCACCACAATTGAAACCTAAAATTACAATAATAAATATATTCTTTAATTCTGTAAGAGCACAGAGAAAGACAGCTCAAGTAAAGGCCGTACCATGACTGAAGCCCGCATGATAAGCTCTCGGAAAGGTAATTACAAACTCTCCAGGATTCTGTACAGCCTTGTAGACAGGGACATCATGTTCCAACAAAACATTTGGAGGAAATAAGGTCGTTTTACCCAAAAGCACCTCAAAAGCTCCATCTTCGCCATCCACTGATAGGATATCATTAGTGTACATGTTCCTTGACAACCTTCTCAAATCTTAAAGCAGAATGACCAGGTACGCCATACCAAGTTTTTGCAGCCCCACAATGATGATAATTAATGCTGCCACAAACAAATAAAAGGATTAATAGCTGAATATTGAGAAAGTAAATAACTTAAAAAGAAATTAAATGTTTGATAACATTTACCTATACAAATAATGATCCTCCACATGCCAAGCAAACATACTAAATAGCATTCCTATGTAAAGCATGGGGTCGCTTACTCCCTGAAAGAAATCAGTTCAATATAATAGAACCATAAATGTAAGCAGATAAATGATTTATATACGGAGAGAGAATTTGAGATTTGGATCAATTCAATACCGGAATTGCAGCTTCAAGAAGACGCAAAGTGGACTTTGGCATCCGTGAGAGTTTCTGAAATCAACCAAAATGAGGTACAAAAAAACCAATTGAATCATAATCAAGAACAGGGATAGAGCCAATCAAAATAAGTTTAGAATCAAATTGCTTCCTCAGTTCAAATCAACCTTGAAGTCATTAAAGTTCAATCAGCAATGCAATAAAATAGAAAATTTACATTCTAAAATTCACTATCATGGAAAAATTAAACAAACAAGCCTATACCAAAAAATAAACGACACTAGAGATTATAGTACTGAATTCAACACCTTCAAATTCCATTTGCTCGTTCCAAGCAGGTCGCTTGGAGAAGAGGAAAAGGCACTACCCTCAACATCACAAGCATATTCAACACTTTCCATCCTACCACAGGCAATTTCATGCCAAAATTCTTTTTCCATGTATGTTGCAGGAAGACAACCAGAACTACAATATCTACGGGAAAACACTTTGTTCGCCATTTTCTCGAAATCACGAAATGTATAATTCCTGAAAAGTCATGCTCTAATTCAAATCCAGAAAAATACACTACGCAAAAAATAACATTTGTTTCAAGTAAGAGAGCTCACCTTCCACTCATGAAAAAGGTGACTTTGTCATCAGAGTTCCACTCAGCAAGACGAAGTGGCTGCACTCTAGTTGTGAACTTGAATCCTACTTTCTCCTTCATCAATACAGCTCCAGCAGGAACAGTAGCACTTACAGGGGAAATTATTTTGCAGATTCCTTCAAATTACAGAGAAAATATTTGAAACGCCTTAGCATTTATTTAATAGGAAAAAAGGCTAAAGGGGTATTTTTGAGAAAGTTTTCCTTCAAGATCCAAAGAAGTATATCCCTTCTTCGGATGGTTTTCATTGAAGTCCCAAAGAAGTTAAGTAGGTTTTATTCGCGTGCCAATGAAGTTACTTAACCTTTCTTCCATAAATACTGTTAAAACATTTGAACCTGATAATTAATTTCACAACAGATTCATTTATTTCGATCATTTTATCTATGCAACAATGAAAACGGGATCCTATTACTACAACCACAATGAAAACCTTCACAAAAGATGTGTAGCAGTGAAGACAAGCAACACTGCATAGATGAAGCAGCAGTTGCTTTATTCAGTCACTAGAGAGATAATATTTAACAAAAAGCCTTCCAATAAGGGTTTATATGCATTGATGTCTGGTAGAAAATACATTTAAAGACATATAAAACCAAGATAGGGACCATCATGTCTCTATTTTCTATGTTTTATTTTTAGGTTGTATTTTAGCATCCTCCAACCAAGGTTGGAGTGGGGAGCGGGTGTTGGTGTTGGGATTTGGAGATGGAGATGGATCTAAAAAGTGTTGAAATTGCTAGAATAAAACACAGGTCTTACCATATTTGGAAGCTTCAGGAGCTATCCTCTGCAAATAAACCAAAGGATCTTCAAACTCTTCCATTGTAGGGTAGAATACAGGACATTCTGGAATTTTCTCAGTCCATTCTAGATCGTTAGTGTAAAACTTATCAACCTTGCGCTTTGAAAACACATCCTTCTCACTTGAAGAAAAATTTGACCTAAAATATGGTTCAGCTTTCCCCTGCAACCCCATTCCACATGATGCTGAAACTCTCAATCCATCTCCCCCACTTCTAGACATCATATTTGTAACACCAGATTTCATAGAGACAGTTTCGGATTTTAATCGTTGAAGCCTTTTACGCTTCAATATCTCTAACCCGTTTCTTACCTCTCTGGATAAACACACCCTTCCTTCCACCTACAAAAAGAAGTAGATAAACAAGTTTAAAGAATCGTATATCAATAAATAGAAACAAAGAAAGAAGAAAACTTGAGAAGCATGTAACCACAATGTAAAAGCAGCTTCAACATTCCCCACATATGAGGTAAAATGCTTCAACTTTTCAAACATATCAGCACCTAATTGCTATCCAACTGACCTACATACTTGCAAGCAACAACAACATTCATAACAGTAAATGCACACAGGCAACACCATTAGTTTAAAATGATTTTAGTAAGTTACAGTTAAATATTAATTCAACTCTGCTGCAATTAGCTGCAGAATAAATTCAGAGATTTCAATGAAGCTCTTAACAGAATAAATTGTTAGTAATTCAGGTATTTTTTTTGCCCATTCTCGGCCAAAAATAAATAATAAAAACCATATTCTAGTCTAGCAATCAAAGATCATTTCAAATCAGGGTACCAAATCAGGTAACAAAATTATGATGCAAAGGCTACAGTCCTTACAACGCCTATAAGAACAAACCATAGCAAAAAAAAAGATAATGTGAATGCATTTCCACCCATGTTTCAATCACCATCACTAGACCAGACTCCCATCCCGTAAAATGTAAAAGGGATCAAAGTTCATTCCGAAATGATAACAGTGAAAAGGAATGTGAAATCAAAAGGCCAACAGCATCAAATTCAGAACCAAAATTTCTAAAGCATAAAAGAAGACACGTGGTTGACTGACTCTAAATCAACTCAATGGTCCAAAGAGATTAAAATTACAACCTCAAACCTTCCATTAAAATTGTGAGTCAATGGTTTACGAAAAGTTGAATACATCGTACATAGCATATATGCCATAAATATAAAGTCAAAATTTGAGTAATAACAGAAACCCATGTTAAATCGTCAGTCAAAACCAGACAACTTCAACAATAAAACACGGTATTAAGAGAACATAAAAAATAGTTGAACAAAATATGAAATTCATTAAATAACTTAACCTTATCCAAAAAATTTAAAACGTAGTCAAAATAAACTCTACCTCAAGAAGGAAATTCAACAAACAAGCATGGAAATTAATTTATGCAAAACTGTTTTTATTAATAGAAATATAAGAAAGACGGTAAAATTTGAGTTGTAAATCCTCAGCGCATGAAGTTCTCATTAATGAATTTCTTTCCAGATTCAAAATTGTAGTTTCCATTTACTGAAATGATGTAGAACAAAAATAAGAAACTAGAAAAAATCATGGAAAATTAATAAACCGTTTCATAATTAAAAATGCTTTGGATCCGTACAACGACGCATAGAATAAATAAAAATAAAACTGTGGAAAATCGATTAAAAATCTAAAAAACGGAAAAAGAAAAATAAAACAACAGAAGAATTTGACGCACCATCTCATTTCGCAATGGTTCTTTGCAGGCTACCGTTTTGTCGCAATTCATCAAAAAGAAACAACCCAAAGGAAATGAAAAAAAAATGAGCAAAATCCGCGAATACCAAACCCTAAATCACGATCTTCACCATTTGGAAACATCAGACGTCAACCAAACACGCCACATTCTGAAAACGCGCCGCATACTCCACCGGAATGAATCAAACTCCGAGATCCGTATCCGAATCACGAAAATAAATGCTTATAACATCACAGGAAAATGATCAACACTAGAGAGATTAGTGGTTTCCGGATTCCAGGAGATTTTCTTCGCCTGAAATAACCGCGGTTTCCCGGCGGAGGGAGCCGGTTTTCCGATGAAATGTGTGTGTGAGAGAGAGAGAGAGAGAGAGAGAGAGAGAGAGAGAAACAGAAAGGAAAAGGAAGGCTTAGAAAAGTGGAAAAGAAAAAGGATAGGATAATTCATACGTTTTATAGCCAAATTTTAATGCTTTAGATGAACTTTAATATTATTAATTAAATAAAAATAATTAATTAAGTAAACTTTTTTTATATAAAAAAAGGAAATAATTGAAGAGGGGTTGTGAAGGAAAGCGGTGGTTGTTCGGTGGTTTAACATAAACACCTTGCCGGCCAAATATGCTTTTTTTATTTTTATTTTTCCTTATAAAGATTAAAAAGTTAGATTAGCAATGGACTTAACTGCATTAAATACTCCAAAGTTACGGTACGGGTTATAAATCATTCTTTCAACTTTAAAAATCTATAATTCAATTCTCCAAACATTAAATCTAATTGGTCAAGTTTTTTCCTCATCATCACCATTAAATTTGGTATTAAAAAGTCATTCAAATTTGATATAGAACATAATTCAAATTTCATCACCTAATTGGATTAATAATGAAGTTA